TTAGTGAACCCTGTGAAGAGGTCATTCTAACTCCCAAAAGGGTCGTGACCCACAGGTTGAGAATCACTGCTCTAGACTCTGGGATGTATGGCTTTTACTTGTATATCAGGAAAAGTCAGCCATCAAGATGACTTAAAGGGCTGGAGAGATGGCTCAGACGATAAGAGCACTTCCTGCTCTTTCAGAGGTCCTGAGTTCAATTCCCAGAAACCACATGATGGCTCACAGCCATCTGTAACGAGATCTGCAGACATAACATGTAAGCAGAATATTGTATACATAATAAATAAATAGATCTTTAAAAAAAAGATGACTTAGAGATTAAAGATACTTGATGCCATGCTTGATGATCAAAGTTCAACCCCTGGAACCCACATGGTGAAGGGAGAACTAAGTCTATTCTCTGATTTACACACACACACACACACACACACACACACACACACATACACACACACACACACACACACACACACACGGTTAGACTATATAGAAAGAATTTAGTGGAGTGGAAAGTGTTATAGGGGAGTCCTGTTTTAGAGTGGGGGTCTGAAACAGCCTTTCTGAAGAAGGAACATTTGAACTGAGATGTGAATGTGTTAATCCCAAAGATGGACAGAGAAAGACTACCAACCCATGATGGCCAATTAATTAAAACAAGCAGCTAATTAAAGCAAGATTTTTTAACTCATGTACAAGGGCTGCCTCTCCCTAAGGCAGGGATTGGAGAGGTCAGCGTTGACTGTGAGGAAGACAAGGTTTTTATAGCTCAGGGGTAGGGGATCTGGCAGGCAAAATAGGAGGAGTTACAGGAGGCAAACATAAGCATAACAAGTTTGTCATAATGACCTCCTGAAACAAAGACATGGTTGCAAACTCAATAGTCATCAACAGGTAGTCATAACAAGGCAGTCACAGGTGGACAAAACAACCTTTTGAAACAAAGATAGAGTTGTAAGATGGTTATAAACAACTTTTTGAAGCAAAGACATGGTTGTTATTCTTGGAAAGGGCAGTACAGAACCATTTGTAGTTAAGGTTACAGGTGGGGCATAGCCCAATCCTTGAGAAACAGAATTAATCAAAAACAGGAATGAACCTAGTTTTCCTGTGCCATAAGATAGTTTTTAAGCCTTACATGGAGGCAGGATAGTTTTTAAGCCTTACATGGAAGCAGGCTGCTCTTTCAGCATGGTGACAGACCAGTCTTAGAAGCATTCAAAGAGCTTTGTGGGCACACAGAGCAAGCCTCGTGTCTAGGAACAAACACGATAAGAAACCTCAGTGAGCAAGTGAGGCTGGTGGGAGCTGACAAGGTGTTAATCAGTTTGTTTATGAGCTAAGGGAAGCCATGCAAGGGTTGAAGCTGGAGTACTCTGTTGTGGAGTACTCTGCTGTGTTTGTTTATGAGCTAAGGGAAGCCATGCCAGGGTTGAAGCTGGAGTACTCTGTTGTGGTACCGGGTAGAAACAGGGTTTAAAGGGAAATGAGCATATTGGGGTCAGCTAAGGGGTTGTGGTAGGTGCCATGATGGTGGCGCTAGGACACCAACAGAGGACAGAATAGATTCAACTAGATTTGCTAAGGTGTTGCGTGTGGAGGGAAAGGCTCATGAGTAGCACCTGAATTTAGGTGTGGAGCCTCAGCAAACAAACATGTGCCCCCAGGGAACATCAGAGGTTCCTTTGGGAGGAATTAAGGGGTGATGAGGAGGAGGCCCCCAGAAGACCGTTAACTCAGTTGTCTGGAAGATAGCTCAGTGGGTGTAGCCCAAGCACTGTGGAGGAAGAAAAATGTCCGGTATGTGCCTGGGGTGGGGGGGTAAGGAAGGAATTTCTTAGGAGGCAGGATGTCTGCAAAAGGGAGTTACTCACATTGGTGGGAAGTTCAAAGGTGACTTTAGAGATTGGGGGGTCAAGACAAGTGTTCTTTGGATGTCTGAAGTGGAATGATGATAAAGCCGCCGATAAAAGCAACCATCAAATCTCAGCCACGTAACCCAAGAAAGATACGCCACACTGGCACTGCAGGGTCCAGTGAAGACTGGGGAGGTAGGAGGGGCTTCATCCGCCCAATTCATTTACTCCTGGCCCGCAGAGTCACTCACTCTTGTCACTTTCACACAGACTCTGGGGGCATCACACTAGAAGGAGGGAGTTCAGACATACAAGAGGTTTTTATGAGTCTTGCCTAGAAATGACACGTGCTGTTTCTGCCTTCACTCCATTGCTCAAGAATCTGTGGTGTTCATTGCCAACTCAGATGCTCCTGAGGTCAGAGTAGAAGGGCCTTGGTGGGCCTGGAAATACAAATATGTCTTTACCTGAGCCAGCTACAATGATTACTTTTTATTAAATTAAAATAAATATTTTATTTTATTTTGCTAGACAGTGTCTCTATGTATCCTTGGCTGTCTTAGAACCTGTTATGTAGGAAAGACTGGCCTGGAACCCATAAAGACCTGCCTGTCTCTGCCTCCTGAGTTCTGGGATTAAAAAATAGGTGATGTGCCCTGAAGAGGCATGCAGGTATTGGTGGTCTCTGCTTTAGACAAGGAGAGTGACTGTATCATAGGGGACCAGGTTTATCTGTCCCCTGATTGGGATGGACATCAGCTCTCTGAATGACACAGAAAGGAAGCTGGAGTGTGTGTGTGTGTGTGTGTGTGTGTGTGTGTGTGTGTGTTCCACCCATGTGCTCTGAGGCTCTGCAGGTCTTCCTTCTTTCCTAGTTCAGTCTCTCTCCAGAGCAGATCTCTATTATCCTACACTTTACCACTTGTCTTAGTTAGGGTTACTCTTGCTAGGATGAAACACCATGACTAAAAGCAAGACGGGAGAAAAGGTTATTTGGCTTACAATTACACATCGCTGTTCATCACTGAAGAAAACTCAGGACAGGAACTAAAAACAGTACAAGAACCTGGAGGCAGGAGGATGAAGAGGCCATGGAGGAGTGCTGCTTACTGGCTTGCTCATCATGGTTTGCTCAACCTGCTTCCTTATAGAACCCAGGACCACCAGCCCAGGGATGGCACCACCCGAGATGGATGGGCTGGGTCCCCTCCACCATCAATCACTAGTTAAGAAATTGCCCTACGGCCGGATCTTAGGGAGACATTTTCTCAGCTGTGTTCCCCTCCTTTCAGATAGCTCTAGCTTGTGTCAACACAGAGCTGGCCAGCACTCCACTAGAAATAGCTGTGCAAGTGTTTATCCTCCGCAGGGTTTTTCTAATCTAGACACGACAGTCTCACTTATCTCCTCAAGGCACAGCTCATGTCATGTGACCCTTTTTTAATAGTGACAACTATCTGCCACAGCATTAGTGACTTGTAGCATTACTGTGTTGAGCTTCTGAACATGATTGTTTACAACAGGCCTAAAAGGGGTCGTCGATCCCTCTAGAAGCACGAAGCAACAGGAGTCCTGAGCGTTTCAAGCTGCATTGCCTAAAGTTGTGATCCCTTAGCCACACGCAGCTATTTTAATTAAAATTAGATGTAAGTAAAGATTCAGTTCAGTGGCAGAACTAGCCATATATCACCCACTCAAAAACAACGTGTGACTAGAGGCACCCCACTGCCCAGCACAGATATAGACTTATTTTCTTTGAGGCAGAAAGTTATTTTGGGTAGCTTTGAGTTATTAGGGGGACTGCGAAGCTAGACCTCTGACTCTCCTAGAGTCTCCAGCCTTTTAATAGCTCCTTACTTTCCCCACATTTCCGTGTGTGTGTGTGTGTGTGTGTGTGTGTGTGTGTGTGTGTGTGTGTGTGTGTGTGTTTCGGCCTAATCTTCTCCCCTTTATATAGCCTGGGCCCAGGTCACTGTTACGTAATCATCTCTTGTTATTTTCTCGCACAATCCCATTCTCTATACAAGCTACTGCCCTCAGCTGTTCACAGTCCCCTTGCCCTCCTCCTTTCTGTCCACTGTGCGGATGAATTGACACCTGATCTTTTAGGTTAAAATGACTTAAAAATTTCTAGATTTGGTTCCTTGTTCCTCTTTCTTCTCTGACTGAACCAGCTCTTGCCTGGGCAGCTTTTGGCTGCTACTAATTCCCCTTTCTGACTTTTACTGAGAACCATGGTGTGCCAGGAAGTTGGCCAAGCATGAACGGATCCTGGGAACTCTTCAAAGTGGGCATGGCGGCTGTGTGTCTCCATTGACAGCCACAGTAACCATTGTGCAGAAGTGGGAGGGGCATGCCCCTCTGATCTTTCTGCTTCCAGGCTTTCTCTGGCAGTCCCTCTTCACAGTTCTACCAGGCCAGGTTTCTACAACAGTTGCTCCAGCCCACCGGAAGGGAGTAGGTAGATGCTGAAGGCCCTGCATATTCAGTCTCAAGTTCAAAACCACCACTCCCCTTCAAATCCAACAGTCCAGCTACAAAAAAAAAAAAAAGTGCTTCTGCTTTCAGAACATTCCATTGTGCATGCTTCCCCCAGGCTGTCTTCATGCATACTGTTTATAATCCCTGGGATATTGTCCATCCCAGCCAACCCTGTGGCTATCTATGGCAGTGTTCTGGACCTCTAGGCTCTATTCCTCTGAGGGGCTAGTGCTTCGTCTCCACCCACCACCCACAAGAGGGTTGAAATGAACGTGTGTGTCAAAACCATTCCTTGTTAAAAATACACTCTGGGCCAAGCCAGGTATGGTGGATCACCCTGTAATGCTAGCACTCTGGAGGCCAGGCTGGAGGTTTTGACTGAAGCCAGTCTAGGCTACAAAGCAATGTCAAACCCAGCCTCGGCTGTATAGTGAGACCTGGTCTCAAAATTCAAAAGACACCTAAACCAATCAATCAAAGCAAGCAAAAACACTTCAACATTTAAATTTGAGCAAGCAAGAATGACACTTGGGATTAGTTTGGATATTTTTTGTTTTGGTCACATATCTGCTTTTATTGTAAACAGCAGGTGGGTCACTTGTCGCAATGGTAAAAAATTAATTTACAAAAGCAGGGACTTGGTGAAGTTCCCTGCTTGGGAACTCATACATAGATGCCAACCCAGAGCAGGAGGAAGAGGACTCCAAAGTCCATGAAGAGCGAGGCCACCAAGGAGATGAGGAGCTCTATGTAAATATCGAGTGTGTACTTGGTAGAGGTGACCTTGCAAACGAAGAACCAGGCAGTGAAGAACATGCCGATGGCCAGAAGTGCCACAGTCAAGCATGGGGAGACAGCCGACCTGACCCGGCCGGTGCACCGACTCATGGCCTCCAGCTCCATTTTGCCCCTCACACGCTAGTTTGGATATTTTTAAAGATGTCCCCTCTCTCCCAGATTATTTTGAAGTTTACACCACTCTCTTGACAACTGAGCAGTCCTACTTGGGCTGCTTGTACATAAAACGTTGCTCTTTAATACTCCCCTTAGTCGTTCAGATGTTTATTAGGGGGGTTTGGGATGTCTGACACTCAGCTTGGTGTTGGTGCCAGCGAAACAGACACTACTGCTGCTCATGGAGTTGATATTCCAGAAGGACGAATCAGGCAGAACAACAGTCCTCAGGATGTCTTGAGCACCTTCCCAGAGTTTTGCTGAAGTGAGGAAGTTAAGGATCTTGAGATGGAGAAAGTAGTTAGATCACTGTGGTCCTTATGAGAACAAGAAGGAGGAGACTCTCGGCCAGGAGTCTCGGCCTGACTGCACCTCGCAGAAGCTGGCTGGAGTAGCAGGCAAACAGCTGCTCCCTACCGCCTCCCTGGGGAGGCTGTCCTGGAGTCCCCTGGCTTTTTGTCCAGTGACACTTCTATTTGGACCCTCGACCCCTGGCCTGTAATACACTTGTGCTGCTTTAGACCACTGAATTTGTGGTAATTGTTGCCGTCGTGAAAGGAAAAGGGTGCATGAATTCTTTAGTTACTGAACTTTGTAGGGTGTGGGGGGTATGGTTGGCCCTGCCAGAGGATTCTGGGTCCTGGGGTGCAGAACCCGGCTTTTGCTTTTCCCTGCTAGTGGTATACACTTAGGAAGCTGGGTTAGTGGGGACAGTGGCGTTCAGCCATGGATGCACTGCAGAGGCAGGGGCGAGCTTGCAAGGGGTTGGGGTGGGAGGCTGTGAAGATCAAAGGGTAGGTGACAAGTGTGTGGAGCAACTCTTGGGGAAGCGAACTCACTGGTTAGGAACATGGGCAGAAAGAATTTTTGTTTGTTTCGGGGGTTTTTTTTGTGTTTTTTTTTTCGGACAGGGTTTCTCTGTGTAGCCCTTGCTGTCCTAGAACTCCTTCTATAGACCCTGCTGGCTTGCCTCTGTCTTTTGAGTGCTGGGTTCAAAGGCGTGTGCCACCATTTCCCAGTTCATGGAAAGAATCAATACATTCACTATACTTTGTATTATTTTAGGTTTTCAGTTTTTTTTTATTTTACTTGTTGATTTTGGGGGAGCCAGGGAATCAAACCAGCTATCCAGATGTTGTTTTGTTTTCCTTCAAACAGGTCTCCCTATACCATCACCTTGTCTTGGCCACTTCTCAAGTGCCAGGATTATGTGTGTGGACCATCATACCCAGCCTATGGTTTTTCCTTGTTGTTTGTCTTGGTTTTGTGACCGGGTTTCATTGTCTAGCTCTGGCTGCCCTCCGACTCACAGAGCTCTGCCTGCCTCTGCCACCCATCTTTGCTTTTGTCAGTTTAAAGGCATGTGCCACAATACCTGGCTAGTTTCTATATTCGTAACTAGAAATTTTAATCTTAAATTTGAAATACTGATGAGTTTCCCATTCAAAATTTAATCACAGAACTCAGAAGGTAGAAGCAGGATGGGGTCTCTCTGAGTTCCAAGCCAGCCTGGTTTACGTAGCGAATTCCAAGACAGCCAAAGCTACATAGAGAGACCCAGTCTCAAAAAAAAATTCAAACATATTTTAAAATTTAAAAAGTGATCCGGGCGTTGGTGGTGCACACCTTTAATCCCAGCACTCGGTAGGCAGAGGCAGTTGATCTCTGTGAGTTCGAGGCTAGCCTGGTCTACAGAGAGAGTTCCAGGACAGCCTCCAAAACAATACAGAGAAACCCTGACTCGAAAAACAACAACAACAACAAAACAAAACAAAAAAGTGACCATTGCAGCTGACTCCGGTAAAGACTTATTTCCAGGTCCGCTAAGGACCCACTAGGTAGATGGCTTCTGGGGATGAACCCGCGACTTTGCCCTTCCACCAGGGGTCGCCTGCCTTTGCAAAGCCGCGGTGGCCGGGTCAAGCTGGTGTCGCGAGCGGCCTCCGGCCGGGGAGGGCGCTGTGCCGGCGGCACCGGGGGCGGGCTGGGGGCGGAGCGCTGGGCGCCGGCGGCTCAGGCTCGGGCTCGGGCTGGGGCTGGGGCTTGGGCTCCAGCTCGGGCCCTGCACCTGTGACTCGGCGGCGGCGACGCTGGTCCTCCGCTGCCCCGCGCGCTGCCCCATGGCCCCGTCCCGGCTGCAGCTCGGCCTCCGCGCCGCCTACTCCGGCATCAGCTCGGTGGCCGGCTTCTCCATCTTCTTCGTCTGGACCATGGTCTACCGACAGCCGGGAACTGCGGCAATGGGGGGGTCTCGCAGGTATCCCGGGGGGGCGCGGGGCGGGCGGTGGTGGGGTGGGAAGGAGCTGTCAACTGCTGCGCCCGAGGGGCGGCGCTGTCCCCGGGGCGGGAGTGTTGTTTACCCCGGAGAGGCCAGTGGCAGCGCAGGCCCGGGGTCTTGGGCATTGCCAGGGCCTCTGGGACCTGATGTCTTCTGAACGTGGCGCGACCTGGGGTGCCGACTGCCGGACTCAGTCGTTTGTACAGATGCCTCATTCCGGCACCCTGTCGATCTACCCTCCGCCCAGTGGCCACTACAGCGTCCTCTGCGCGCCCACTCCTCAGCCACCCTCACTCCTGCAACATACACACTGCTTCTGCGGGATTCCCGCGCCTCTAATAGTAAGTGGGGGTTCGTGGGGAAGCCCATCAGCCAGCCCCAGAGGCCTGTGCTGTGGGACCTAGTGTTACTAGACATTTCCTTCGCATCCACATCCATCTGCTGTGGTTCCTCAGTGGGAATTTGCTAATCCTCCAAGGAGAGTGGACAGGAGGCATCAGTGGTGAAGGCCCAGTGCTCAGCAGTGCTCTGTACCTGATGTGCAGTTTTGGTCACGGCATTTAATCTCTGTGCCACAGAGCTGGTATGAAGGCCAAATATGTTATTCGTACTTATTAGCATAATTCGATATTTTCATGCTGCGCTAAGCAATCTACTCTCCTTTACTTCACCTAACCCTTATATTACTCCTCTGAAGTAGGAATCGTCCTGCCCATTTTATGGTTAGAAAAATAGAGACTTAGGGTAAAGAATTTGTCCACAACAGTCACACAGTGGGCTCCAAGATGGCCCAGACTTGAAAGCCTGGCTGAACTGAGTTCCATCCTTAGAAGTCAGAAGGAGAGGTTGGGTATGTGAGAGTTGTAAAATTCAGATCATCTTACTAAAGACATTAAAATTCCTACTAAGAAAATTAACCCAATTGTACAATAGCCACATGAAACATTATGTTTGGGGAGAAGTATGGGTGAGGGTAACATTTTAATATATAATGATCTTATTCCATAACTAAAACCCATGACCAAAAGATCCATAAAGGGAATAACTAAAACTAACTAATTCACCCCGGGCACGGTGGCAATACTCCCCTTTAATCCCAGCACTTGGGAAGCAGAGGCAGACAGATCTCTGAGCTCTAGGCTAGCCTGGTCTACTTAGTAAGTTTCAGGACAGCCAGTGCCACACAGAAACCCTGTCTTAGAAAAACAAAGCAAAACCAAAAACCAACAAACCAAACCACCAACAAAAACCAAACCAAACCACTCATTGGCACTGAATGCACTGAGTGCCATCCTGAGGTGGAGAAGGAGCCATCGATGCTTGTCTTATCAGAGGGCATGCATTGCTCCTAAACCAAAGTCATGCCAAGTAAGGCACTGGGGTCACCCAGAAGGTTCTGTGTGGTGCCCTGGCTGGGAGTTCTCAGGCCTGTCACCTGTGGACTCCTGACCTTCCTAGGACAGCCAGCACTAGCAACTGGATTAGGCACAGAGCCTTTCCCCTGGACTGCCAACTTCCCACTGGCCCTGTTGCTTCTGGGTTTGGAAGGCACTGCCAGGGCCTGGGCTGGATGCTGGATGCTGAGATAAGTTCTTTGGTTGCAGAGAGGAGGGATGGCAATCCTGGGATCCTCTGGCTACGAGTCTACCCTATGGAAGTAGGGGTGATCTCTACCTAGCGGTGTGAGGCATGGCCATGCCTGCTGGGCTTCGGCTTCCTCTTCTGGAAGGAGTGGGAGGAGGTCCCACTTCTCCTCTACGTCTGCAAGGCTGTGTGCCGTCCACTCTCCCAGGCTTGCTCTGTGTTAAAGAGCAGGGGAGGGGGCTGGAGAGGTGGCTCAGCAGTTAAGAGCACTGACTGCTCTTCCAGAGGACCCGGGTTCAATTTCCAGCACCCACACAGCAGCTAACAGCCATCTGTAACTCCAACATCTGATACCCCCACACAAACATACAAAAAACACCAATGCAAAACAAAAAAACAGAAACAAAGAGCAGGGGAAGGTTCCAGGCAGCCACCAGGGCCTCCCTCCCACGTTTTCTCTCCTTGATGGCCTTGCTTGGCCTGAGGCAGGCTGGCTGTGGAGCTACCTTGAGAGATAGGCACTTGGTAGCAATTAGCTGGAGCAGGAGCTCAACTCCCAGCTAGTCTGGTCTCTGGCAACTGTGGTCATGGAAGAGTCAAAACTGCTTGGTGGTAGTGTCCGAAGAGTAGTCAGGCCAAGGTCATACTCTTTCCCTACCCAGCATGGGTTGCAACAAGGGGTCCATGACCTGCCACTCTTCTTCCTCTTTTGGTGTGAAATGTCAGCAGACTTCTGACTTGCAAGCACTCCACTACTGACTCTGCATTTTGCTGCCCAGAAATTGCTTAGTCACAGAGGTCCATCCCAGTGGGTTTGCACATGTTGGTCAATTGTGGCTGCTGGGGATGCTGGCTTCTGGAACAGGGTATGTATGAGCGTTTGGGGTGTGGACACCCTCTTATCCTGGCAGGAATCTGGGAGGAAGTGACTTTGCAAAAAGGCAGTAGTCTAAAAAAGAATGGGTTCACCAGAGACTCCTCATTGGACCCCCACTCTGACTCTGTACTGGGAGTCCTAGCTAACACGCCTGCTCTGTGTTTAGAAAACCATGGAAAATAGAGCACTTGCACCACACATCCAAACAGCTCCATGCTCTCCACAACTGAGCTTTGATAGAGAGGAACCCTGGCACCCTGAGTCTCCTGTGCCCTCTGGGCTGGGCAACAGGGCTGGAGTGTGTCCTCTGAGCCACATCCCAAGTGTCTGTATTTACCCCATAGGTGCCCTTGGGTGCCTCCAAGCCCCTAGTCCGGCCCAGCGCCTGGAGATGGTTCCCTTAACCAGGCCTGTGAACCTAGAGGCTAGGCAGGCCTAGCCTTGGAGTGGTCGAGTGGAGCCAGGATGAGGTTTTGCTTGCTCCAGTAGCTGGGTGGGGCTGGGGACTTGTCCATACTGCCCCAAGTTTGATATATCAGGCATCCCAGAGCCCTTGTGTATCCTAGGAAAGTGTACAGTTTCTTCCCTGGAGTATAGGAAGGGACTAGAGAGGGACACTTCCTTGGTTACCACTTATGGAGGGAGCGTCTCTCTAAGGAGGGCCAGTGTAGGAAGTGGCCTCCAGCCTCCCTAGCTAGCATGAGTACTGGTGCTGGATTCAGGGGAGGTGTTTAGCTACAACCGGGAGACCTCAAGCCACCCCCTGCCTTCCCTTCTTGTTTCCAGTACTTCTGGGCATATGTGGGAGTGAGAGTTTGGGGAAACCCCTGGGTCATGCTGGTGGTCTGAGGTGACACTTCCTAGTTTAGCATTTTCTAACCCAGACACTGCTGAGCACAGGAACTTTTCTGACCTTCTTTTTCCACTTTAAGCTGGATCCCAGAATCTTCAAGGGGGAAAGGGTCTCAGAACTCAGATATTGCACCCCCTTTCATGAGAAGAGGAAGGAGGACAAGTCACTGGGAGGACCTGGTCTGTCCCCCAAATGCTTGGTGACAAAGGCTTCATCTCTTGGGGCCATTTAAGAAACCACATGCAAGTCTTAGGGGTGGAGCTCACTGTGGTAAATTGAACACTGTGCATAGGGCCCTGGGTTAATCCTCAGTGCCCCTCACTAGAGAAGCCAAGGTGAGAACTTCAGGAGGAACGGGGAGACACTCGTGGAGATTGCTGGGCTAGAATCCAGATCACAGAGGGTAGAACAGAGATTAGTATTCTGGCTACCTCTGGCCTGCTACAGCTTCCTGCCAAGACAAAGATGGGAGCAGGTTTGTTTCCATCCACCCAGAGCCTAGGGGTAATGGGAACCCGTTCCAAGGAGGGAGATTGAAGGCCAGCTCAGGCTGACCTGGAAGCATGGGAGTGGGGGTGGTGTCAGGCTGGCAGGTGGGGAAAGCTGAGTGAGGTAGGTAGGGGGGTTTGTGGACTCATACCCACACAGGGGGAGCCCAGGATTCCCTGCTTATCCAGAGTGGCAGGACCTCAGGACTTGCCCATTTTTATGTTTGGCAGCACAGCAGTGCCTGGCCCGAGGTTTCCCGGTTTGTATTATTCTTTTTTTGTTTTTGCCCTGATTGTGATAATTAAGCTGGTCACTGTCATAGCCCCCATGATGACTAGATTCCTCTGCTTGTCATCCCCACCCAATGTCTCGTAACTTTAAAAAGTATAAAACATTTTAGGCATGTCAAGAGGAGAAGCAATTACCCAGTTTAAGAAATAAAATGCTCTGGGTGGTGGTGGTGCACACCATTAATTCCAGCACCCGGGAGGCAGAGGCAGGTGAGTTCGATGCCAGCCTGGTCTGTAAAGCAAGTTCCAGGACAGGCTCCAAAGTTCCAGAGAAATCTTGTCTCAAAAAAAGAAAAAAGTTTAGTGGCTATCAAAGGGCCCCTTTGCTTCCCTCTATCCCTGCAACCCCCTTCCCAGCCAGATGTCTGTCCCTCTGAATGGTCTCAGCACTCATATTGTATGCAGCTGATGATTTGAAAGGACTCCCACCTCCTGGATGTTGGCAGCCTCAGCGGCCTGCCTGCAACCAATGGCTGTCTTGAGAGTTTACAGCTGGCCAGCTCTCTTCTCTCATTCTTCCCTGCCTGGCTTCATGGCCCGGCTCTAGGTCCTTGCCAACAGAATTGGTATTTATCTCATTCTTTAATCCGCCTCAGCAGGCACTGCCTGGCACTGAGGGTTGTATTGTGTTCTATTGTATTGACTGAAAACATCCTAGGAGAAGTGCCCATCAGGCCCAGAGGGCAGGCCCAGAAGGGCCTGGGCTGGTAGCCTGCCCTTTGCCTTACTTTGGAGGAATGGCAGGAGGTCTAGCCCAAAGCAAGTAGGCCATGTGGGTGCTGGGTGGCCTGCCTCGGGGGCCTCATGACAAGGCTTCCTTTTTCTGCAAGGCCAATGTAGAGTTGAGAAGAGCCCTGCTGCCCAAGAATTCAGCTGCAGGCTCCAGGACCCAGAGCGCCAGGCAGAGGAGGAGTGTGGGAGGGGGCATGCTCCCCTACCTCGATGGCTTTGAGTAGCATCAGAAAGTCTCATTCAGCATGAAATGCCAACTAAATTCTGTCTAGGTAGATTCTATCTATGGACATGTGCCACATTAGAAAGAAACTAAAACTGAGAAACTTTCAAGATTTTATTTATAAATATCTAACCTTTCATTTACTCCTTTATTTAGTTTTTTCCGAGACCCCTGTGTAGCCCTAGTTTCTCTTTGTAGCCCTGGCTGTGCTGAAACTGATTCTGTAGACCATGCTGGCCTCGAACTCAGAGATCTACCTGCCTGTGCCTCCCAGTGCTGGGATTACAGGCATGCACTACCACTGCCCAGCTAACATAGTATCTTCAAGCTGGGTATAGTGGTACATGTCAGTAATCCCAGCACTTGGGAGATTGAGGCAGAAGGACTGCAAATTCAAGGTTAGCTTGGGCTATATAGGACTTTGTCTCAGCCTTTTGGTGACACACGCCTTTAGTCCCAGCACTGAGGAGACAGAGGCAGGCAGATCTCTGAGTTCCAGGCCAGCCTGGTCTGCAGAGCTAGTTCTAGGACATCCAAGGCTATTAAAAAAAACCTATCTCAAAAAACAAAACAAAACAACAAAGACCTTGTCTATCTCAAAAGTAGAAGAGGAAGAAAAGAAAAAAAGTTGGTGAAAGTAAAAACTACAAAGAATGCCTTGGTTTTGTTTTCCACAAATCTCTTTAATGCCTGGCTGTTGTTTGAAATGTTTTTAGTCTGTTGTCTTTTTGAGAGTGTTTAAGGGGCCCACCACCCAGCTCCCAAATTAATCACACATGGAGTCTTATTATTACTTATGAGTGCCTGGCCTTAGCTTGGCTTGTTTCTAGCCAGCTTTTCTTATCTTTAATTAACCCTTCTATCTTTTCCCTCTGGGCTTTTCTCTTTCTTACTTCTGCATATCTTACTTTCCTTCTTACTCTGTGGGTGGCTGGGTGGCTGGGTGGCTGGGTGGCTGGGTGGCTGGGTGGCTGGGTGGCTGGGTGGCTGGGTGGCTGGGTGGCTGGGTGGCTGGGTGGCTGGGTGGCTGGCCCCTGAAGTCCTCCTCTCCTTGTTCTCTGGCTCCCCCCTTTTCCTCATTTCTCCTTCTATTTATCCTCTCTGCCTGGCAGCCCCGCCCATCCTTTCTCCTGCCTTGCTATTGGCCATTCAGCTCTTTAGTAGACCAGGTGTTTTAAAACAGGCACAGTAACACAGCTTCACAGATTTAAAACAAGTGCAGCATAAACAAAAGCCACACACGTTAAAATAATATTCTACCACACCCGGCTTTCTGGAAGGCAGCTAAAGTCCCATGCCTCCGTGTTCAAGGGGTAACATCACATCCCATAGATGTCACATCACGTCATAAGGGCCAGTCTTCTCAGTGTCACTATGTGAGTGGATTCGACCTAGTGGACTTCAGGGCCCTAGTATCAGGGCCACTGGCCTAGAGGCCAGGCATGTGCCTGGGTCCTGCTGACTGAGTCTGTCCCCGCAGGTGTCCTGGCATTGTGGGTCTTGGTGACTCATGTGATGTACATGCAGGATTACTGGAGGACCTGGCTCAAAGGGCTACGTGGCTTCTTCTTCGTGGGTGTCCTCTTCTCAATCGTCTCCATCTCTGCCTTCTGCACCTTCCTGGCATTGGCCATCACCCAGCACCAGAGTGAGGACCGTCCAGGGAAATGAGGAAGGGAGGGGGCTTGAGGGTAGGGAGGAACCTGGGAATATACCCTGGGACTGTTGTCCAGGTTCTAGAAGTGTTATTCTAGGGACTGAACGGACCACTTGACTTCTCCTGCTGGGGTTCCTTACTGTTAAAGTGGGGAGGATGAGAGCCCCCACCTCCTCAGGGCAGGAGGACTCCAGACTGGTGTGAAGTACCAGGGACAAGTGTGACACACATTGACCACCACCCACCCCAGAGTTGCTATAGTCCTTTATTCTCTGCCTAGTTCCAGGAAGGCAGCACCCCCTGGTGGCTCTAGTAAGAAGTAGCCAGAGGCCCTTCCCTAGCTGATGCAGGGGAGTGGATGGTTCAGGCCTGATGGCCAACTCTGACCTCCTCTCACACCCCAGCTTTGTGACTACACATTCAGGGGTGTTCTAAACCTGCACCCCACACACCAGTCTTTAGGTAGCATTGGTTCAGAGGCCGGGAGGATGTGGGAATGTGGAGTGGGCAAAAAGGGGGCGGGTCCCGGCCTTGTGGCTGGCTGTGGTGCTATGGGTCATCTTTAAAGTTGTCATCTGGTGTCTCTTCCCTGCAGGTCTCAAAGACCCGACCAACTACTACCTCTCCTGCGTCTGGAGCTTCATCTCGCTTAAGTGGGCCTTCCTACTCAGCCTCTACGCCCACCGCTACCGGGCTGACTTCGCCGATATCAGCATCCTCAGCGATTTCTGACCCAGGGAACGAGGTCACTCCAGCCTAGGGGGCCCTTGGGACCTGTACTCAGCTTTGGAGTCAGCAAGTGAGCCTGCCCCAAACCCTGGGGACTCCAGAACCATGGCAGAGCATAGACAGCTGAGCCAGTTCATTTCCCCAGAAAACCATCTGGTCCCCTTTCTGGAGGAGACGGGACTGTCGAAGGGGCACTGCCAACATGCCCATTAGCCTGGCTAGGGGCAGCTTAGCCCTTTCCAAATGGATTTATTTTCTTAGCACTCTGAGGAACCTTTGTAAATAGGACCACGATAATGAACTCAAGGTGTCAAGGGTTAGGACTGTAAGGTCTGAATGTATGTATGGCTAGTGGCAGGGTTCGGGACAGGCTTCCTTGCTGCCCCAGAATTCATGTGTGTGGGAGGCATCTGGAAAGTGTGGTCAAGTAAGGAATCTCTACTTAGAGATCTCCAAATCCCATCCCAGCACCCCTATTCTGTTGTCCCCAAGGGTCAGGTAGCTGAATTCACCAGTCCCCAGGGAAGTGACAATTGGCTCTTTGCTCAAGCTGCAAAGCTGAACAGAACCCGGTGTCTCTCCTCCTACCTTCCCATCCAGAGTTTGTTTCCCATGAGGGTGCTAGAGCCAGCCAACCATTCCTGTGTGTCACACGTGCGCACATGTTACCAGAGCTGGACTCCTCGGATGAGGCTAGACCTGGGGACCACTGGAAACATACCCCTGCATCTAGAAGGGCTTCGGGATAGGGGGCAAGCGGGTGGGGGCTAGAGAGAGCTGCAGCTGTAGTCCCGAGTCTCCAGCCCTGCTCTTCACCTACCCCTCACTGCCCAAGACCACACCCCGGCCACGAGGACCTTCTCCCTGCACCAGGCTCCAACACTGATGTTCACCTTTATCTCCCGAATGGACACAGGCCCAAGGCCTCGCCTACGTAGATCGGCAGGGCAGGGGCTGCTACGTACGTCCTTTTATGATAGGTTGCTGGTTTGCACGTCTACTTTTCCACCCAGGTCCTGCCCCTCGGCCTCGGCCTTACCTGTGTCACTGTCACTTTAGCAGAAATACAGCAGCCACTTTTATCAGCCTCGGGGTGTTTCTTGGGGGAGAGAGTCTTGAGAGGGGACTATGAGAGTGGACAAGTGGCGGCGGGGCGGGGGTGGGGCTCCACCTGTCTGATTATTTCTCTAAGGTAAGCTCTGGGCTGGCGGGCAGCCTGCCCCTTTTTGGCATGAGGAGACCACTAACTCACGGGTCCTTTGCTCTCCCAGCCCTGCCTTATGGGGCTAGGATCCCCGCAGTCCCAGCACCCCCTGCAGACTTCCATATCCACCTCCTAGGCCAGGGAAAGGGAATCTTTTTTTTTTCTCCTACCCCAGACAGACTTCTTGGGGCTCCAAGGTATATGGTGACCAGGCTGGGTAGATTTAGAACCAGAAGAGCTGACACCCCTTTGCTTATGCTGAGTACACTTTTTCTGGCCTGTTGCCCTCCACCCTTTTACTTTACGGTATATGCTTCAAACACCACGGTGCTTTGGAGCAGGAAGGAAGCAGAAACCATGTCCACGTCCAGAGCCTTTTACCAAGAGATACACAAGGCAGCGACTCTACTGCTGACTCCCAGCTAGGACCTGAGCCCAGGTGTGTCTGCCTCATGACCTTTTTGGGGTGTCTTGACAAACTGAGTCTGAGAACTGGTCCCGGTATCCAGCAGGGCCCAGTGTGTAGGGCTCATCCCCGGAGCATCTCGTTGGTAAGATGGTTGGTTAAGTGCGCATTTGGAGAGGGTTCTCCCTGCATGCAGGAGCCATGGAAGGGCAAGGGACTAGAGGGTCTGAGTGTGGCCCAAGGTTGTCCCCTTTCTCAGCCCATCTCGGTGCTGGATGCACACCCACCCACTGATGACATCTCACTAACATCCAGGATGCGTACTCACAAGGGCTTTAAAGCAAATTAAAACATTTATTGTTCAGGTTTTTTTTCCATTTTTTTTTTCTTTTTTACAAAAACATGCATACATACACAAGGTATGGCAGGTCTTGGGGAAGACACACACGCACACACTCTTGCACGCGCACATATGTACACACACACACACACACACACACACACACAAATACTCTTTCTTGGCCCCAGGCCTAGACCTCAAAAGCCTTGAAGACTTCTGGGGTGGCCCCCCTCCCCCATATCTGTCTACTCTCCCACCACATCCCGCCTCAGTCAAGCTAGTCCTATGTGGGGCAGCAGTCAGAACTGAGGTGGGGGCACCCCAGAAACAGAAGGCAGGCTCATACTGGGAGCAGTGGCCATGCATCCCTGGGATCGTGCTGTGCTTTTAAGGGGAGATGAAGGTTTGGCACCATTGGGTCAGGAAGCACAGGGCTCACAGAGGATCTGTCTGCTGCACCAGGGCACTGAGATGGTCCACATAGGGTGGCCTCTGGCAGGACAGGGACCAGATGGGAGGCTTGCTGGTGACAAGTCACAGGGAGAGAGCAGCTCAGAATGGCTCTCAGAGCCCAGTGCTACCAGAAGACAACCAAGGAAGCCGGTGAGAGGAACTCTCCTGTCCTCAGGAATAGGGGACCCCTTGGCTCCTCCTACTCCCCTAGCCCTTCAGAACCTGGGAAGGGCCGCCCTGGCTTAAGCCAAGTTCACATTTCTGTATGGAGCCTGGGGCAGTGTGCAAAATCTGGGGTCTTCTGAGTTAGGAATAGTGGTAGTGGTGGGCCCTCCTGAACCAGTCCTCTACTGTGCAATCCTGAGGGATAGAGGCCATAGCTAGGGGCCTGGACACCAGAGGGCTCGATCCATTCTGGAAGAGCCTAGCTGGGCCCTAGTGCCCAGCTTGCCTCCTCCCAGGATCCTTCCTGGTTCCCATCCCAGACCCAGTGGCCTTGTCAAGTTCCCTGGGGTAGCTTTCAGGGTAGGTTGTGCTCTGGACCTGACTGCCTGCCCAGAGGATGTCTGCAGACACAGGAACAGGGCTGACCACAGGTGAGGAGAGCCACGTCTGGAGAGCAGGAGATCTGTTCTGAAGCCCTATAGATTCATAGGTTCTTCCTCTTCCACCAGCTGCTCTGAGGGCCTGGAGTGGAACAAGGCCAGAATGTTGGAAGGCCAGAGGGCTGTGGGCAGGGCCTTAGTGGCATTACCCTCCTAGTCCTACTTCAAAGGACTGACACTATTAGTTGCATGAGAGTCTGGGGTCTTCAAGCTGGGAGAATCCAAGGGGGTTAGAAGACCACAGGCCTCAGGCTGGGGGTCTGGCGTTACCTGTCTTCAGCCAGGATGCCCACAGAGAGTGATGCCAGTGCGGTCACGGCTTCTACTTCTGCATCAGCCCCTGGCACTCTGGGCAGCCAGGAGTCTGGACAGGAGGCCAAGCGCTGCATGCAGCCCCAGTATTTCCCTAGGACAAGAAGCTGGGTCAGGTGGGAAAAGACAAGCTGTTTGAGCTGTATCCTAGACTGATAACCTAGGCAATGGGCCCAGAGCTCAAGAATGGTGGCCACGTCATCAGCTCGGGGGCAGCGCCTCTTCTTCCTGCCCTCACCTCTCAGCAAAAACACCTCACAGCTTACCCCTTCCCTACAGCCCTGATTCAACATGGCTGTGAGGACATCTTCACAGATAATCAAGCCCCTTTCCCATCTTCCTTGGCTAAAATTCCGCTCTCGAGGGCTGGCAAGGCAGATCAGCAGTTGACAACACTGATTGCTCTCCCAGAGGACCTGGGTTTGATTCTCAGCATTTACATGGTGGCTCACAACAACCTGAAACTTGAGTTCCAGAGGTTCTGATTCCCTCTTCTTGCCTGTGAGAGCATTGCATGCACATGCACATGGTGCATAGCGGTTCACGCAGACAAAATACCCATACACATCAAAAAATTAAAAAGTAAAAAAATAAACCAGACACACACCTTTTAATCTTAGCGCTCAGAAGGCTAAGGCAGTTGGATCACCAAGTTCAAGGCCAGCCTGGTCTACATAATGAGTTCCAGGGCAGCCAGGGCTACATAGACCTTGTCTCAAAAAAAAAAAAAACCAAAATAATAAAAATAAACAAACAAATAAATAAATAATAAAAGACCACTCCATAGGCCTGGTCTACATAATGAGTTTCAGGATAGCCAGGGCTACATAGACCCTGTCTCAAAAATCACAAAATGATAAATTTAAAATAAATAAATAAATAAAAGACCACTCCATAGGTGTATGGATTCTAAAAGCACCAGGAGGATCCACTTGTCCCTAAATTAGGGTTATGAAAAGATTCACTTACACAACCTGCCCCTGTGCCTTGGCTTCCTAGAGCACAGAGTCCCCCTCATGCGGCCTCCATAGTGCTCAGCCTACCCCTAGGAGGCCAGGCATGGCAGTAAATTCCTGTCTGAGTAGGAGGATCACACGCTGGAAGGTAGACTGGGATACATAACGAGACCCTGTATCAAACAAAACTCAACAACCCAAGAGCTGGGTTTGTAGCTCAGCAATAGAGTGAAAGTCTAGCATGTGCAAGACCCCGGGTTCAATCACTGGTACTGAAGGGATGCGGAAGACAGTCATGGTACAGGGCAGGGGCCAGCATCCCCACCGCTGCTCTGCACAGCCACCTCTGGTCCATCACCATCCTGTTGTTCTGAGACGGTGATGGACACGGACCAGCTCAGTGCAGAACCTGACTCATGGGAAGTTCCATAGGCAGCTGTATCCGTGGTTATGTGCCTGTTTCTCCAACCGAGCCCGGTATGGGGCTAGTTGAAGTGGGATCTTTAGCATGTTTTCCAAATGTGGGCTCTTCTGAGACCCAGGTAGGCCCTCCTCACAGCCTCTTAAGTCACTGTTACCAGAACTGAGGAGGTTAACCCAAGCCTTCTGTTTTGTTTTTCAGGATTTCTCTGTAGCTTTGGAGTCTGTCCTGGAACTTACTCTGTAGACCAGAATGGCCTCGAACTCCCAGAGATCCACCTGCCTCTGTCTCCTGAGTGCTGGGATTAAAGGCATCCAGCACCACCACTCAGCTTTAAACCAAGCCTTTTTTTAAGCAACCAACGCCTGAGTGTTGCTGTCAGCCTGGCTCCTTGCCCAAGACTATAGCCAGAGATAGGAGGCCAGTTCCAGCCATAAGGAAGTCACGGTTGTGTCCATGCTATGTCCAATAGGAGGACTAAGAGGTTACCCACTCATGGGGATATGCCCACCCTTATTCCTGGAGTGGTTCCTGAGGATCCTATTTGGGACTGTCAGTGTGCTTCTGGGTCTCTGAGACCTTTGCCAGTGGGCAGATGGACCCTGAAGGCTTTCCCAAGTTAGGACCCAGCAAGTATCCCAGGTCAAAACTCACTGTGCACCCTGATCACAGCTTCCAGAGAGCGGATGGCATTGGGGTTGGGTTTCTGTTTCCAGCCTTCTTCTGAAAGGGGATCCACCTGCAGAAACATTCTATCAGGGACCTGAGGGACCCCAGGCTCAGCCTGCACAAACAGACATAAGCTGCTGGCTCTCCAAGGTCGGAAGACACTGGCCCTAGACCTGACCTGGGAAGGTTTCCACTATACCATCTTGCTCCACCCCACCCCTTCCCCTCTTATCTACCTTCTCTTTGTCCTCGTGAGAGCCAGGTTCATCTGCCTCATTGAAGTGTAGGTGGCCGGGGGTCAGGGGAGCTTACCTTGTTGCCCAGAAGAGCAGCCACGCAGGCCTCAGAGGCATCGCAGATGGCTGTGAGGTCATGGCCACCCTCTAAGGCCAACACCACTGCACCTCCTGCCAAGGTCATCAGCTGCTGTGTCATGTACCCAAAACCTAGATGGTTGAGGTGGGAGCAAGAGTGGCAGGCTGGAGGAGTGGCAGGACCCATCCTCTACCCTGTCCTTTCCCTGCTTGCTTCCTCCTTTGTAGACAATGTCTTCAAGATGAGAACCCCATGCAAAACCCATTCATAGGCTTCATCCCAAGCTCTGAGAAGTTAAGAGTCTTCTCTACAAGGTCCCATAGCTAGCAGGTGGCAGGGTTGAGGCTTGAACCCCAGTATCACCTCCATTCTTAGTCTCACTGGGCCACCACCACCTCTTTGTTCCCAAGCCCTGTGGCAACGTGGACAGCACCGACATTGTGTTCTAAGACCGCAGCTCTTCTAACTTCGGCTGAGGGCCCACCCTGGAAGCATGGCTTCTCCAACTGGGCTTCCATCTGGCAGACCTAAGTCTCCAGGGGCCTGGTCCATGCTGTGCTAGGCTGGGAGAACCCAGGGAATTCCAGGGCCTGCAGCCCTACTCAAGACCTTACACATGGTCCTGGACTGTGGCCAATGCTTCCTGTCCCTTTCATTTTGGCAGTGCATTCCTGTCCCCACACAGCCTGGCTCTTATTTCCCACATCTTCCCCACAGCTGGGGTCCCCCTTACATTTAGCAGAAACATGGTAGCCACCCAATGGGGCTGGGTGACCCTCGGCAGCATCAAAACCAGCAGACACCAGGACCAGGTCTGGAGCGAACTCTCGGGCAATGGGCATCACCACTATCCTGAAGTTGCAAGGAGAGGCATCATCCACGTAGGGCCTATGTCACACAGCCCATGCTAGCCCCTCCTGAGGCCACCTGTCCTTAGGACACCAAGGCAATCTCCTAATGGGATTAGCGGATGCCCTGATTTCCTTCACTCTGGCTGTAGCTCTGGTATGCACCAGCCTCAGAACTCAGCCATCCTGAGAATTTGACAAGCAAGGAGCAGAATGGTGGCAAAGACGACGGTGACGGGACGAAAGAAGCGTGTGCGTGCGTGGCGTGTGACTCAGCCAGCTGCCCTGGGGCTCGCTCTGGTCACTAAGCTCAGGGGCTGAAAACACGCAGCACTTTGGCTGAAGGTGACACACTATGTTTAGGGTTGACTTGGACGCTAGAGTTGACTTTGACGCTTGCCACCCGAGAGTGACCAGGGCGACTACACCTGAGGTCCTGGGCTGCCAATCTCCATTCTTCATCTTCTTCCCCCGCCTGTCACTAATGTCCCTAACCCAATGCTGGTGTCCATTTAGGTACTGAAGCTCAACACAGACACCAGGAAGTCCCACTCGGTGCCAGCAGAATTAATTCTCATGGAGAGAGCCTCCAGAAAAGGACCCCGGGTCTAATTGTAGGGTTCCATTTTCCATGGAAATAAACAGGAACCTGGAGTGAAGGCGACAAGGGCTCCTTATAAGAGCCCAAGGCAGTCTTCTGAAGTCAACCTATCCCTCCATGTGGACAGCACTTGAGGACACCAAGCTTCTACTCTCGCCAGAGACCCACCACCTCCAGGCAGTCTTCTTTGACTAAATGTGCCAGTTTCGCCCGACCCAAAAGGTCCCCAGGATGTGCGACTCTAACTTTCTCATTCTTGTGTGTGTCCTATTTTCTTATTGGAGCTAGCGACCAAGTGTGAACAGATCAACAAGCCAACCCGTCGCTTCCAACCTAGGGTTGTGGCAAAGGGAGGAGAGGCAGTCTTGCTGGACTGGCCTCCTCTAGACCCCAGAGTATTTACCTGAAGGCAGCCAGGTACTCGGGATCCCCCATGGGTGGATCCAAGCCGCCAGCCCAAGCCACATTGACGTTGAAGCCTTCGCCATTGCCAATCCCCACCTGGAAAACAAGACATAAGGAAGACATGAGGAGAACAGAGTTCCAAGCTCATCCAGCTTCTTCACTTCCAGATATGGAAGCCAACATCCAGAAACGATAAGCCAGTAGCTCAGGACCACACAAGACAGGGGCAGAGGGTTCAGGAGGGAAATCAGTGTGCTGGAAGACGCTGACCCCGCCCGTGGTTACCTCATCCACAGCCCCACTGCCTGGGAAGAAGTTGCCGTCATCATGGCGATGCAGGGAGATGTACAGCACGCTGGGGTCCTGGTAGAAAGTTTGCTGTGTGCCATTGCCATGGTGGACATCCTGCACAAAACAGTGGGCCGTGGATTAGGGAAGGTCCAGAAGCAGAAAGATGGAGGTAAGGACACACCTGAAGGATTTCAGGGTTGGTAACCATTCTGAGTATTGGGACGCTAGACTGGTGGGGTCAGGAAACTACAGTTTCTAGGATCATATGATTGCATTGCCCCAAGCAATGATCTCCATCTCCACATGGAAAGACTTCCTGTCTTGAGACACGGTAGTTAGATGCATAGACTATAGAGCTAACTGGCCTGGACTCCAAGCTTGGCATCTCAAGAAGTGAGTGGCTATTCAAGATGGTAATCTCTGTACATGCTTTCCTCATCTGTGAGATGGGCTACCACCAGGACCAGATATGAAACTGTCGGCATGTACATATGACTGAGGATATACTGCTATCGATATGACTGTTACAGTTACTGTGTGGAGGGAAAGGGCTTGCTCTGCCAAGAAGAAGCCATCAGAGGTTAAAGACAGCACCTGAGAATTCTTAGCACCTGTGGAAGCCTATGAACACTAGCTGCTTCCCACAAAGCATCCTTTCTGGGCCTCCTGATAGTTCCATGGTGCAGGTGCTGCATTCTCTCACACTTAGATAAGGGAGAAGCTAATGCCACACTCAAACATGCAGCCGCATCTAATGCCCAGGCTCAGGGTTCTGCCAGAAGACCTGGGTCTGGTGACACTAGGAATCGGGACCTACCCAGTCAACAATGAGGATCTTGCTGGCCTTGCCTTGCTGTTGTAGCTGTCGGCAGGCAATGGCCACGGAGTTGAAGAAGCAAAAGCCCCTGGAAGAAGGAGAGAGGGTCCTGCCAGCCCATTCCCCCACGCCTCTGCCTACAGGAAGGCTCTGAAGGCTGCCCCCGCCTCACACCACACAGGCCCGTCGCCTCCCCAACGCCTTACATGGCTGTAGAATGATCTGCGTGGTGTCCTGGGGGCCGCACCACAGCAAAACCGTTCTGAAAGGGGAAGGTCACTTATTACTCCAACAGCCACCTTTCAACCCCCATTTGTCTGAGCCTGCTTCTTGTCCCAGCCCCTTTCTCTAAGGAGTAAAAGGCATGAGTGTGGGCACGTCCCACTGAAGTGTCCAGGTCATCATACATACTGCATTTGCATCTCTAGACCATAAATGTTATCACCACCCCCAACTTACAGGCGAGAAATCAAGTCAGTGAATCAAATAACCCAGGTTATGAATGGCAGTGTCAGGGTTTTAAAACCAGGGCGCGTTGATGAGCACTTGCCAAGCCGTTACGATGCCAAGGGCACAGTGCCTGCCTTGGGCTATGAGCTCTCAGGCAACGGGGCTGTGTGCTTCAGACGGACTACCCCAAGGCACCTATCTTAGCGCAGTGAGCATAACTCCAGCCTACAATGCAGGGTCCCATCATTAAAAGGAACCAGTTGGCCAACGGGGCTCAAAAATGGCCATGATGCACCTATAACCATGAAACAGGTCTTAAGCGATCTTGGGTGGTCAGGACTATCTAAGACACCAAGGCCCTAGTGCCCAGTGGCTTGATTACCTAAGTGACATGAACTTAGAGGTCAAGCCTCACCTTGGTTTCAGCCCTGATTTCCCTTTCAAAACCTTGTAGCAATATCCACAAGAAACAAGAGGTCTGAATTTGGGATCTAGACCTGCCTCCATCACCCCACTACCTCCTCTGCAGTTTGCCAGCCTTTAGCTAAATGTCCTACCTTTAGCTCTCTGGAAGCTACTTTGAATGCAAGGTCGGTGACACTGCCTGCAGCCCAGCGGGCTGCATTGGAGGAATGCAGCTCGTTCCAGATGGTGTCAGTATCTACCTGTGGGGGCCAGGGTCAGGGACCGCATCACCCTGTGCTTTCCACAGGAGACGGGGCCCCGTGAGGCAGTGCCCACCCCATGGCCAGGACCCCAGGGGCAGGGAGCTGAGCAGACAAAGCTGCCTCCCCAGTGCCCCACCGCCCAAAGGCAAGGCCTCCTGTGTCCCCCAGTCCCAGCAGGACTTCTTCCCAGCACCAGCTCGTATGTGGCCAGCACTCTGCCTCCCCAGTCAGGGGAGGGGGCGTGGCGTTACCTGGGCGGGATTGGGGTTTGGGCCGGGAGGGGTTTTAAGCCCCAGCTGACTCTGCTCAGGCCCTGCAGGACGGTCGGAGCTGGAGGGGTTGGAAGGGCCGTCTGCACCACTGTCTTCCACTCAGGGCCCCTAGCCCAGGCTGGGAGGCCCCCCAAACCCAGTCCCTGGGCCTCAAGGCTAGGGAGGGGCCGGGGGCCATGATGGGGAGATGGAAAGGGCGAGGCGGACCGAGAGAGGCGAGGAAGGCAGAAAGAGTCGCAAGAGGCTGGAGAAAGAGAGAGAGAAAGGACAGAGAGGGAGAGGAGGGAGGGGAAAACAGAAGCAACAATAGTTGGAAAAACCAGAAAGTGGCAGGAAATGGGGAGTTGTGAACAGGACACCGACTGTCTCCCCAACAGCCCCCCAGCAGCTGCCACTGCCCTCCTGTACTCAGCCTCCATCTTATCTCCACACACCTTGCCTGGCACCTTTCGAGGCGGGGAGGGTCATACCAGCAGTAACAAAGAGACCTCCGGCAGGGGAGGGGGAGGCCAGCAAAGCTGTGTACTGGGTAGGGACGCTCTAAACCTCTAAGTACATGGGAGGTGCCCACAGCCCCACACTAGGCAGTCCGAGGTCTGGGGGTCAAGTAGGGTACCCCTGAGGTACCTGAGAGAGGCCCACTCCTGGGCAGGCAGAGATGCCAACTCCTGGGACACAACCTCAAGCCCCAACGTGACCCTGCCTTGGGCCTCACTCAACACCTACCCAACACCTGACTGTGAGGCCCTGGGCTCCACACTCGTGGAACGGTAATGGGACTGGGATACGTCCATCACAAGGGGCTTCCAGTCAGCAGAAGAGCACGCAGGGCCACAAGTCACAGGGGGCAGAGGGGTGGGAATAGGCCAAGAGACCCGAAGGGACGGCTGAAAGCCCTTAGCAATGCCCACTTGAGATCTCCAGGCACACTTACCCCAACCCCGCCACAGGACAGCATCACAAACATTCGCTGTGCCAGGAGTCCTGTGGAGAGAGGCCAGGTCACATGGGTGAGGAACACAGAAGCCCTAACAGGAGTGTAGGGAGGGAGAAGCAATACAGAGAGATATGGAGGCGCGGGGTGGGCTGGGCGGGACCCATGGACCACACCAGGGCAGCACCCTGGCAGGGGCCATCCACAGAGAGATATGGAGGCGCGGGGTGGGCTGGGCGGGACCCATGGACCACACCAGGGCAGCACCCTGGCAGGGGCCATCCACAGAGAGATATGGAGGCGCGGGGTGGGCTGGGCGGGACCCATGGACCACACCAGGGCAGCACCCTGGCAGGGGCCACCAGGAAGCTGTGCACAGCTGAGACAGGAGCAGCACAGAGGTGGGTGAGGTGGGCCAGCTCGGGGTGATTCGGGTCCCTCCCCTACCTGTCAGCTTCCCATTATCCAGTTTGAGGCGGCTGAGGGGGTTGGTGCCGTAGAGGAGTACATGCCTTTCAGAGTGGACTGATTGCAGCTCCTCCAGAGAGGCCTTTCGGCCTCGGAGACACTGAGGGAGGGCCCACAGAGCTCCTGAGGTTTGCTCACGCGTGCCCTTCTGCTACCACCAGACCACCCACCGTCTCATCCCTTGCTGACCCCAAGGCCTCTCGTCCCTCCCCTTGCACGGGCCGCCTCACCTCACACCGGCTGCGGAGACCCCGCTCCTGCAGCCGGGACCAGATGCTCTGGATGCGACCTGCATGCTCGGGGTGCTTGCTGTTGTCTCCACAGGAGCACTGGTGCTTCAGCATCACCGAGTCATAGACCAGCCCTGCAAGAAACAGCGCCCGTCGTCCATCCGTCCATCCGTCCGTCCGTCCGTCCGTCAGGGCTGGAACTCACAGTGCAGGGGCCTCCGCCATGGCCACACATGGAGAGCGGCCCACGCCCACAGAGCCAGGCACGTGCACATTCCCTTCCCAGCCCTTCTGTGGAGGGCTGGCCCTGTCTCTCTATGCACATGCCTGCATGCCTCAGACCACCTGATGTACACACCGGGCAGTGCCAGCCTACCCTGCTCTGCATGACCCCTATCTCCAATGCCCTTGAGAGCTCATGTCCTAAACCCAGAGAGACTTAACACAGGACATCTCCCTCTCGGTGCCACAAACCCACAAAGGGTTTGTGTCCCAACTCAGAGAGGAAAAGCAGTTAGAGGAAAACCTCAAGACTGAGAGAGGGGATGGACCACAATGTTACTGGCCATGTGGTCAGTCTCCCAACCGCACATGGAAAACACTCAGAAAGCTAGTTTACCTTGTAAACATTATGCAAATGGCACAAAAACTATTTACATCGCATCTACACGGTACTAGGTATTAAAAGCAAAGTAGAAGTGATTTAAATGTGGAAAGATATGCGTAGGTTACATGCAAATACTATACTGTTTTACATGAAGAACTTGAGCATCTGTGGTTTCAGTGCCTTTATAAGCTGGGCTGGGGTCCTGGAATCAACCCTCTGAGGGACTGAGGGCTTTCAGCTTAGCCCAAGGGAGGTCTCCGGAAACAGGCCCTGTGCAGGCATACTGCTGGAGGGGGGCCTGGGCCTGCATCTCGGGGTACCAGGGTCTTTCAAAATGCTTACACTCCTTGACCCAGGAATGAACTCCTTAAGAGTGACCCTGGAGAGATAATCCCAGACAGAAGACCAGACTGAAACATAAAAAAATTAAAGGCCAGGTGTTGGTGGCACACTCCTTTAATCCCAGCACTTGGGAGGCAGAGCAAAACAGACCTCTATGAGTTCAAGGCCACCCTGGTCTACAGAACAAAATCCAGGACAGCCAGGGCTACACAGAGAAACCCAGTCTCAAAACAAAAACAAAATGAACAAAACAACAGACAAAAATAAAAAAGAAAGAAAAATTAAAACAAAAAATTAGAATTAAAATTGAGCTGGGTGTGGTGATTCACACCTGTAATCCCAGTACTTGAATTCCTAGTGCCATTATAACAAAAATTAAAAAGGACTCAGTCAAGTAGGGTGCAAAATATAGCTGGTATGTTTGTGACATTAAACAGGTATGGAGGCTAACTAAAACCTAGAACAAAATAGAGCAGCACTTAGGATAGTAAGGTACTTGGTGACTTTTTATTCTTATATTTCCCTGTATTTCTCAAAATGTTTGGAATACTTTTGAGCTCCTTTTACAAGTACAGCAATGGAAAATGATGTTTTTGCTTTTGTTTTTAAAAGGGCTGGTTATGGTAGAAAGAGACTCAAATTCCTGCCCTGGCCCCTGACCGCCGTTTTGTCGTTTGACCATAAGCTAGTCACTGCCAACTTAGGTTTCCTGAGTGGTGGTGTCCTCACCTGTTTCATGGCTACTGCGGAGCTCACAGGTGTGGACTCGCACCCCAGGCACTTCCTTCTGCCTCCCTGAGTCTGCCTTACCTGTGGTGGGTGTCTCTGAGCTGGTGAGGACTTGGGTCTGACAGGTGGGCTCTGGGCTCAGCAGGGAGACAGGTGCCGCTGGGGAAGACTGAGTTCTGGACAGAGGCCGGTGTCCCACCTGGGTCAGAGGTAGCAGCACAGAGTCGCCGGAGCTTCCCTGGGAGAGCCGCCCAGCGAGATGCGGCTGCTCCCAGAGCGGCACCTGAAAGAAACATGGTCACAGTCTCCAGTTTCTCAGATTTGGCCACCCAAGGACTAGGGACCCTCCAGATAGACCCCTTTTCTAGAAAAATTCCAGACGTGGACTCTGGCCTTTCAACACTCTGAGCTCCCTGAAGCTGAAGCACCCAGGCTGATCCCTAATTTCACAAAAACTCCTTTCGGCCCTGACTCTATGCTGACTGAGATCACCTCTCCTAGGACTGTGCTACTAAGCACAAGACAACCTGCCTGAGACACTAAATGCACGTGAACTGTTTCCCGGATTCATAAAGTCTGAAGCCCTTATCTTTGGAGATAGGGTTTATGCGGGGGAACCAAGTCTTCATTGAAGAGGTTTGCTGTCTTTGTAAGAAGCAACTTTAAGCAGTGAGGCCTACAGACACCCCTTCCTTCACAGCCCCCAGAACACACATCCCCCACCCCACCCAACACACACACCTTGATTTCACCCTTTCCGCCTTAAGAGCTTCAAGGTGATCAGTATCTGCCTTTCAAGGCACCTGTGTGTGTAGTCCTGCGCAGTGGTCCTGGCAAATGAACACTGCCTTGACCCCCGTGTTATTAATCTAAAGCCCAGGGGACTACCGTTGTCCTACTTTTGCCCCAGCTATCTTTGGATAAAAAAAAAGTCAGCCAGTTGCAGGGAGAAGTGTTGAAGGGAGGAGTATGTGTGGCTCTGTGAAAGGCCAGGACGCAGGCAATGGGTCTACACACATGCACACACACACACACACACACACACACACACGCACTCACGCACGCACGCACACGCACATGCATGTGTGCACCTGCACCTTGGTGTATGTCTTAGGGTACCCCTTCCCCATCCTATGCCAAGCCCCAAGTCTTCTGACTGAACTTTCTGCATAGCTCCTAGGCACAGCCATACCTGTTGGTGCTGCTGCAGAGAAACAGGGCCTCTGCCCTCAGGAGGAGGCCCGTGGCCTGACTCCCTGTGTTCCAGGCCATCGTTCACCACAGCTCCCACTCCCCCACCGTCTGTCTCTAGGTCCTCAGCTGAGGGAATCTGCCGCAGTCGGGGCTTCTCACTCGGCTTGGCAGGCCTCTGGGGAGGGGAGATGGCTGTCTGCGAGGTGGGATAAGGAGGAGGTTGGGTGGCAGGGCGCGGGCTGGGTGAGGCCACATCCATCTTGCGAGGTGTCCAGCAGTCACTTCTCTTGTCCTCCAGTTCTTCCTTTCCTCCTCCTCCTTCCAACCCACAGGGGCTCACCCTTAGCACCTCCCCTGCCCGGGTCCTCTCACCTTGATGAGCTGGACATGAGGTTTGAGCCGGTCCTGGCGATCCTGGCGGGGCTGCAGGGGGCCCAGCAGAGGGGAGGCAGTGGCGCTGGGGGGCAGGGGCTCTGAGCGCGTCCGGTTAAGTGGCCGGTGGAGGCCTGACCCAGAGAGCCGCTCGGTGGTCAGTAAGGGTTGGGCAAAATGGAAGGGCAGGGGCCCAAGTCCAGGCACTGGAAAGAATAGGACGTATATGAGGAAGGGACCCTGGGCGTCAGGAAAGAGACAGGGGCATGGAGTGGAGGCAGAGCTTGGCAAGGAGATGTGGACAATGAGGGACTAGAAGGTGGGTCTCTCCCAGAGCTTGGCCCCTTGGGACAGATCCTGACCATTCTGGGAGAAGCAGCAAGACTCACCAGTCCACAGTGGGGCATGGGAGACTGAGGGGTCCAGCAGGAGAAGGGGCTGCAGGCGAGACGGTAAGGCGCCCCCAGCCTCCGGCTCCAGACTATGGTGCAGGAAGAGAGGAGCATGAGGGTTCCCCAGAACAGGACCCCGAGGGCCCAAAGTCGAATGGGTCCTGCGGTCACCATCAGCCTGCAAGAAAGGTAAGAAGTCAGGGACGGACAGGTTTCCCAGAGGAAGACAAAGGTAAGGCCACAGGCAGGAAAGAGGCTGGAGAGGCGTGGAGTGGGGGCAGGGTGCCCCAGCCACTCACCCTGGCAGGGGCAGGCAGCCCCAGTGTGATTGCGGGCAGCAAGGACATTGTCGGCAAAGCGAACGGGGCCAGAGAAGTCTCCTGCAGCCGCAGCCGCTGGCCCAAGAGCGCCTGCCATGGGGAGCAGGGTGACGGGTCACCAGTCCTGGAACGCTACCCCTGGTATGCTTGTCCCCAGAACACCCAACAGGCCCTGCTAGGGACTGCCCAGACCCTGAAGCCTCAGGCCAGGCCAGGCCACACGCTGGAAGAAGGCCAAGACTCAGAACTGCCCCCAGGAAAGCCCAGTCCCAGCAAGGCCTTACCTCTGAGCCCAGGGCAGGGTTGGGGCCGTGCTCGCTGTCATTGGGGGAGCTGCACCCCGAGGCAGGCGTGCTGCTACTACTGGGGGAGGAATCTAAGGGGAGAGGAAAAAGGAAGGCATAGGCAGGGTCAGGAGTGGTCAGCCATGGGCAGCATTCCCAGCCACAGTTCCTCCCCTTCTGGGATGTATTTCTGCTTTCTCCCTAGAGGAACAGAAAGCTGTCAGATCACCACTAGCCTACAGCGTTCTCTGAACGGTTGCTTTCACGCAGCTCCCGATTCCCCCAGCAAATGTCAACCAAGCAGACTATTCCAATAGGGCTAGGTTTTAGCTCAGCTAGCCCTCTCACAGGCGGGTGTGTGGGTTACACCCTGCACAACACTTAGCAATCCCCCGTGGCAACATCCACCTGGGTGGAACCTGGCCCCAAGGGACAACACCAGGGGGTAAGGAGGACAACTCCATGGCCTTGTTGGCCCCTACCTCCAAGGGTCTCTGCAGGCCGCCGCCGAAGGCTGGGTGGGGCACTCTCCTTTCTGAGCAGGGGATTCTTGCGCCGCTCCAGGGACTTCTTGGGCTTATAGCGCAGCTTCAGGTTGGGCTCAGACACTGCAGACGAAGTGTCACTCCATCGCTATGCCGGCTACCCTACTCTACTCTAGTTTTGTTTTTGAGACAGGGTCTCACTCTGTAGACCAGGCTGGCCTTAAACTCACAGAGAGCCGCCTGCCTCTGCCTCCCAGTGCTGAGACTAAAGGCATGCGTCACCACACCAGGCCTCTTCTGTGCCCTCAAACTTCCCTCCCAGCTACCTCTGGGTTGAAGAGAAAAAAAAAAAGCAAAGCTAGGGGAAAGAAACCTGGTGTGCCAACTGACCCAGTCCTCCCGCAGTCTCATACCCCTGACCTAAATCCCTTGGCCTACTCTAATCCCCACGAAGCTCTGCCCCTCACCTGTTTTACGAAGGGGAAAGTGTTCCGGGGCTTCAGTGGGCAGGCTGGGAACTGGAGGCAGGAAGCTGCTAAGCATGGAGCGGGCAGCACCCTCTGTGTCCAAGGGCTCAAGAGTTCTGTGGGGATGAATGTCAAGGCCACTTCAGAAGCCGGGACGCCCAAAGGCCTTGAAATCTCACTCTGCACAGACGCCTTCCTGAGCCCAGCCGCCAGGAGAACAGCCACCAACACAGCCGGGCAGTGTGGAGCCAGCATGACAGGAGTCATCTCCAGGTGGCAGTAGTGCATTACCCGTGCTAACATACATGTTCTGCTCCAGGTATAAAACCCAGGCCTTGGAAGCTCAGGGCCTCCTGGAGACTCAGTGTCTCCTGTGGTAAGAGTCTTTGCAAGAACCAGGACTTCTGTGCATGCAGAGCCTGAGGTGAGATGTGGGGAAGGAACTAAAGGGGAGAGGAGGCGGGTCCTCGCTGAGGGGGACTTGGGGAGCCATGTTTAGGCACGGAGTAAGAAGCAGGTGGTAGGTGTTGGGGAGGAAAGGGGACATGAGCTCACTCGCTCACACACTTACACACTTACACACTCACACTCACTGACACACTCACTCACGGACACACTCACTCACTACTCACTCACACACTCACTCAATCACACACACTCACTACTCACACACTCACTCACACACACACTCACACTCACTCACACACTCACTCCTCACACACTCACACTCACTCACTCACTCATTCACTACTCACTCACTCACTGACACACTCACTACTCACACACTCACACACTCACTCACTCACACACACTCACACTCACTCCTCACACACTCACACTCACTCACTCACACACACTCACTCACTCACTGACACATTCACTCACTACTCACTCACTCACACACACTCACTCACACACTTACTCACTCGCTCACTCACAGGTGAGTGTGTAGGGGGGAGGGGGTACAGAAAGGACCTGAGGGATGGTGAGCTACCTGTAGGGAATACTGGGGCTGCTGGGATGAACTGTTCTCTCAAGGGCTGCCTGCTGTTTCTTCAGGATCACCTCAGCCAGCTTCTGCTTGACCACACTGCTGGCTACGGCACCTGTAGCGGCAGAGAAATGAGAAGGCTGGCAATGGGGAGATAGGAAGCCTCTTAGGGACATTCTCTGCCCACTGTCCAAGCCACACGTTAGTACACCAGGGGCTCCTCAGGCCACAGAGCTACGCCCGAGGCCCCACCTCTCCTGTGAAGCCTCTAGACACTCCCACCCCCGCTTCTGCTCATGGGCAGAAGGGAGGGCATCCCAGTACATGGTGACCCTCCCACACACCCCTCCCAGGCCCACGGTGGGGCCTGAGCGCCTGGCGGAGGGCAGGGGAGAAGCCTCCCTCTTACTTCGCTTGCTCTTGTCTTTATTGAGAAGCTGCCGGAGTTCTTGTTCCTGCTGTCCCCCCTGAAGCTCCGGCATTGGTGGGTCCATTGAGAGCTGTGGACAGAGCCAGCAGCTCAGGGAGGGGTAAAGGACGGGGCTAGGGTCTGGGGAAGCTGGGATGTGTCTAGGGAGTTCTCTATCTTTACCCTCATGGGCTCAGCCGAACGCTGTTGCTGTTGCAGGCCGGCCAGGAAGAGATGGCGGTGCAAACGCTGGGGGTGCTGCAGAGCCAGCAGCGCAGGCTCTGGTGGGGGCTCCACTGTGGGCCGCTGGCCCACGCGCAGGTCCATGGGCTGGGGCTGGGAGCCTGGTGTGTCTGGCTGGAGGGCAGGGCAGCCTGGGGACACACAGCAGAGTCAGGTGGAAGGCTAGTCTGCAGGAACACGGTCACAGACAGACTACTGTAGAAACACCCTCAGGGGGCCTTTTCCTCACATAAGCTGGGCCTGTGAGCTACAGGTGGGTCCTGGATTCCATTCTACCTGTGAGAAAGAAGGTCTGCAGACACACTCCCTTCCCATTGCTGGTAGCTAGAACTGAGCCATAGGGCTGTAAGCATGGCGTCTTCCCCCTGGAATGCTTTTCCACTGGCCTGGAGCTAAGCTTACGGGGTTTCCTGAGATGGTGATGCAGTTCTAGGCTCTCTGTTTGCCTTTGACCTTCTAGGAATGAGGTCAGCCTGGCTCAAGGAGGGAGAGACCAGGCAGGTAACCAGCCCCCAGTCTATGGGCCTCCCACCCCTCGGCTGCCATTCTCCATGCTCTGGACCACCCTGGTCCTTGGGATTCAGATACAGTGCCTGGAGCTCACAAGCAGCCCTGGCTGGCCCCCTAGGGTCTACAAAACCCTGCTTTCAGGGCAGGCTCCTCAGCTCACCAGGCCCATGAGCTCGTGGTGCAGACTCCTGCTTCGCATTCGAGCCAGCTGTGGGCCTGGCCTGGCAAGGACAGCAGGCTCAGCTGCTTCTTCTCCAGTGTCCTCTGCACCCACGCCAGGAGCACCTTGCCAAGGCCGTGGGTGCAGGAGCTATTTATAGCTCGCCAGCAGACCAGGGACAATGCCAGCATAGCCAGCTGGCCAGGCCGGGCTAAGCAACCCGGGATGCTGAGATGCTAAGAGGTGGGGGGGGCTGCTGCTGCAGCGGGGGGTGGGGGGTCCTGGGGAAGGGAAAGGATGAGAGTACAAGGAGAGGAGAAACTCCCCACGGGGGCCTTCTTCAGGGATCCCCTTACAGAGCAGCCACACTATCCTCGGGGTCTGGCACTGATGAGGAATGGGACGATCCCCAGCGAAACACCAATGGGAGAGTTGGGGAAATGTGACCTGTGGTCTGATGCAACCACAACAATCATAACCTTAACATCTGTGGTGCATGCATGCAACCAAACCCACTCAGCTCCCGGTCCACCTGCCCTGGATGCTAGCTAGTTATTGCTCTCCTTTATCCCAGAGGAGCCAAGTGAGGTCCCAACGTGAGGGGGACTGCCTAGAGTCACCCAGCAAGGGGCAGAAAGAGGATGGAGTCTCGTCCTGTTAAGGCCAATGCTCTGTTTTCCCACCAACACTCAGGAAATCACCTCCCTTGGAAGGAGCGAGGGAAGAACTCGTGGGATGTTGTCACTAAGGGGTGTCACTCCAACACTGGCTGTGAGATGGACATGAAGAAGAGTTGAGCCAGGCCGACCACAGCCCTCCAGTCACTTAGCAATTTGAGACTGTGCATCCAGATGCTACCCCCGGTAAGCAAATGCCAGGATTTGGTGCCCCTGCTCCTGTTCACATGGCTACCCAAGCATCATTCTGCTTGAGGATGGGCCTCCACTGGCAACGTAGTCCTGACCCACGAGAGGCTTGTATTCCCTAGTTCTGGTGTAGTGGCTTCCTGAGGCCATCCCCTTGATGGTGCAGGGGGCACCATACCTAGGCCCGTGGCTTCAGCCGCAGCAAACTAGAAGCAGCCTCTACAAGCTGCCACCATTCTTCACTGAGCGTTACCACCGCCAGCGCAAAGGGATGCCAGGAACAGAGGACAGCCTCTGTTCAGAACTTTGGGAATGCCTGTCAGGGTGGCTTAGCATTTGGCGGGGGCTAGCCCTATGACAAGGTACAGGAGTGGTTAAAGATCTCTGGGAAGCCTCCATCAGGCATTTTCCCATGAACACCTACCTCAACTTGGTCTCCTTCATGGGAACAAAGCCACCAACTCAGGCAGTGCCTTTTATCCCATAATAAACCAGAACCTTTTCCCCCTGGTCTTTGGTTCACAATGTCTCCTCACCCCTACATTCTGTTTCCCGAACCTCACTAACTGCTCAAAGCCCAGCGTGCAGCACCTCTTCCTCCTGGACTCCATGCTGGCCGCACACAGCATTGTAAGCTGTCCACGGGAAGGACTATGCCTGGGTTAAGCCCCAAAGGTTGGCTTTGGTTTGCCATTGCTCACCATCCCAGGACTTAGAATAGTGTAGCCTGGCATAAGGCAGACACTCAATAAACTCAGAATCACGGGGAAATCTTGGTATTGTTCCTCAGTGGCCTGGATGGTTCACACAGGTGAGGTTCATCAGTGATTTGGAGCAGCAGGATAAACTCCACAGGTCAGGGTTCTCTCATTTAGCACGGGTCACATGTTGCTACCACTGGCTTTTCTCTGTTTTTGTACATCCTGCCGTCCCAAGCTTCGGGACAGCTGAGCTAAGGTCCTCTGGCCTTTCAGTTCTTCGTGCCATGCGGAGTCACTACATAACTAGGTAGGTCCAGTGAGCCCCCGTAGGGAGTCAGAGAAAGGACAGCTTCAGGCTTCAATTCTAGACCTAGGCAGCAACAGGAAGCCCACCGTAACCCAGTCTTCCGGGAAGTGTGAGTAACAGCAGAGATGTTCCAGGACAGCAGGGAGCACCCAGAGAAAGTGGGTTCCCCGACTTACCCGGGAGCCATTTGTAGAAATCAGAAAGGTGAAGGTGTGTCTGGGGCAGGGCAAGGGAGGAGGGCTACTGCCCCTGGGGAGGGCGAGCTCCCTGCCACTCCAGGCCGGCTGGTGGGATCTCCAGCCTTTGCAGCCAGCTACTGAGTGGGTCAGCTAGCCACTCCGGCGCTTGGGCAAGGTGCACAAGATGAACTCCAGGAAGCCCCAGCTCACCCAACAGTGCCCTCAGCCCTCCCTCATGTGGTCAGATACTATCTTCCCTGGGCAGCCAAAGCACATTCCCAACAGTCTGAGGGGGGGAAGCAGGCTGGGAGGTGCACAGGGCCAGAAGTGGGAGCGTGTGGATGGGGAGGGCAGGAGAGAGCTGGGGAGAGCAGGCCCGGAGAAGCAGAAGGTAAATGTCTAGAACAGGAATGGTCTCACTGGAAAAGGCCTGGGCTGCGGCCACAGGTCAGGAGAGACCCGGTAGGAGCTGTGAAGTAGGGGAGACACACCCCAAGGGCCCCAGGATAGGGCCCTCTACTCCAGCTGCCCCGTTCCGTGTCTTGCCAACTTGACTGTCTAAGAAAAAAGGGTCACTAAGCCTTTCTGAGAGAACCTGGGTTAGGAATCTTTTCTTTGGAAATGGCTGCCTCCAGGCGTTAAGTGCTCAAGACACCTCACCTGTTCATAGTAAACACTGAACACCTCCCCCTACCCCAAGGATCGAGGAAACTGAGGACTTTCCACAGGCAGCATTTACAGCATTTAGCGGCTGTGCTCCTCAGACCGGACCTAGTGCACAAGGCCACTTCCTGAAGGAGATGGGTGCTGCTTTCTGGGCCTGTACTCGGCTCCAGGTGGGAGGGACTCATGCCTGGTACGGACATGCTGCCCCACCCATTAATCCAGCCATCTTTGGAGGTCTGCCCAACCCATGTCGGGACGGGGCTGATGCTATCCGCTCTCCTCACTTCTCATGCACTGAGTGTCCCCACACCTTAGCATAGCATTAATTATGGTATGGATGGTGGCGTTTATCAGTCATCATCACCTGCACTACAACATCTTTTAAGGTACAGGAGGCCCTTTGGTGCTGATCACACACAAGGATCCTCTCTGGACTCCCTGCCTAAGACATGACTATTTCAAAAGGCTTGTGATCCCCAAGGAACACCTATCCCAGAGGTTACCTCCTCTTCCGAATAATCTTCATTCTGGATGTCTTGGGACCCCCTTTCTTCTGGGGGCCCGGGTCCTGAGAGGTTTCTGCACTGACTCTTAGTGAGTTTCATGTATAACAGCTACTTTTGGTTGTCAACATACCTGGGAAGGGGGCCACCTCAGCTGAACACCCCCGTCAGACCGGCCCGAGGGTATGTCTGTGAGGTATTCTTTGTTTTGTTTTGTTGTTTTTTTAATCACTAATTGATGGAGGAGAGCAGTGCCGCCACCCCTGGGCAGGTGGCCCTGAGTTGCACAAGGAAGGTAGCTGAGAGAGGCATAGAGAACAAGACGGTAAGCAACATCCTCCATGGTTTCTACCTCTGGGTTTCTGCTTGAACTCCTTCCCTGACTTCCCTCAATGATGGATGCACTATGATGTGGAACCGTAAGCCATATAAACCCTTGCCTCCTCCATGTTGCTTTTGGTCATGGTATTTACCACAGCAACAGAAATAGGCTGTCAGGCCCAGCCAGAGGTCCCTGCATCCTGGGAATTAACTCGCACTTTCCCCCTGCCCTTGCCTTCACGCTTTCAAGCAGTGAGACCTTCCGTGCCTCGTGCCTCTGGTAACCACAGGTCTGGACACCGCGCTCTGTGGAAAGGAGAAGAACTCATAACCTTGGGCCTTGTGGTTTGTTACGATGACTGCAGGGATAGTTTGTGGTGGTGACCTATGACATAAGCTCTACTCAGAAGAGCCACCTGGATGTGTGCACACATGCATGCCGGTAAGGAGGTAAAGAGACTGAATCCAAAAGCACTTTCTAGAAAGCACCTCTCTATTCCCTAGCTCTCTGCTAAGAACCACAGAGTTCAAAACACCTGGGGATATTTCTCTGCATGAAGAGGAAAGGCATCTCATGACGCCGTTACGAAGGCTGAGTTGAGAAGAGAAAGGGAGTAACTTACATTACAATTCCATTCCATCTTGGATTTGCCCCCCCCCATGACCTCGCCACCTTCCTCAAAGGGTGGCTATCATCCATTTAGGGTCAAACCACATGAAAAACAAGGAGAAAACGACCTAAGGAACCAAGAACACTGTGGTTGGGGAGTCCTCAGGAGACTGGCTACCCACCCCATTTTCCACCTCTTTTGAAAGCAACTACAATTGGGCTGAAGCAGTTTGCTCAGTGTGGGGAACCTGGACTAACAAGTTTCCTTCCTGAGGCCGAGCATTTTCTGTCTCTACTGTCACCAGAATCAAGAGCCTCAGCTATTCTGCCACCATGGTCCATCACAGCCCTGAGCAATCTCCAGACTAGACAGAACACCGTGGGGTTCCACCCTGTGTCCCTCCGTTCCCCGCCCCCACACGCTGGGTTTCTAGGCCTTACATCACTGTCTCAAGCCCTAGGTTTGACCTCATCTGCCCCACAAGGTGACAAGAATCCTGAGCCCAGTTCAGTCTCAAATCCCTGGTCCCTGGCTATTAGCTAGAAAGGAAGTTCCGGGAAGACCAGGCCTTAGCTGCAAGGGGAAGCAGACAGAGACAGCAGGCCAAGGTCCTCGGTTATGGGCTGAGTCCTATACCTCAGCCATGACACAGGAAGAGCAAAGCCTGACTCCTTGTGGGGACTGGCAGAGGAGGTAAGAGGGCCCCAGGGGAGTCCAAGAATAACCAAGGAGAAGGCATGCCATGGTTGTCAGGCCTCTAAGAGGCTTTTCAGGGCCATGGGTAAACGGCTCTTCTTCCAGGCATCTGACTTAACCTAGGAACTCGCAGACCAACACTGTGGTGGCAGACAGAGGTGTGAGAAGGATGCTGGTTCACCAGCAGGAGCCCAGGCAGACCAGTGTGACAAGTGATTCCAGACACAGGTGATGACTCCCTCCAGGGGCCACAGAGCTGCTGGGCTCAGGAGACTCAGCTATTGAGCCCTGTTTCCTGCTTTCCAACAGTTTCAAACAGCCCTCACCTATAATGAGGCTGAGACGGGAATCAATACTTTGAGGCTACAGAGAAGAGCCTCTCTTCCAAAATCAAGCAAAGAAACATGAAATACAGCTTAGCCTGACCTCCAATTCTTAATCCTCCTGCCTCGGCTTCCTGAGTAATAGTCCACAGGCATGTAGAACACGGGAACATGCCTCCATCTTTAGTTAACTCTTTTTTGACAGGTTTTCAATATGGAGCCCTAGCTGACCTGAAAATGACTATGTAACCCTGGATGGCCTAGAACTCGTTATGTGGCCCACTTCCTAAGTGCCAGGATTACAGTACAGGCTACCACAATCAGCCTTTAATTGATTTGTTTGTTTCGTTTTTTGAGACAGGGTCTCTATATAGCCCTGGTTGTCCTGGAACTCGCTCTGTAGACCAGGCTGACCTAGAACTCACAGAGATCTGCCTGCCACTGCCTCCCAAGCGCTGGGATTAAAGATGTGTGCCATCACCACCTAGTTCCTTTAGCTGACTTAAAAAAAAAAAGAAAAAGAACATATACTTCTGGGGGTAAAATGTCAATGGCTTTAAAATATTTTTTAGGGGCCAAGGCAATAGTTTGGTTGGTGAACTTCTTGCAGTGTAAACAGGAGGACACAAGTTTAATCTCCAGCATCCACATGAGAAGCCGGGGTATAAGAGCTGGAGAGATGGCTCCCTGGATAATAACACTGGCTGCTCCTTCAGAGGACCTGGGTTCAATTCCCAGCACCCACATGGTGGCTCACAACTGTCTGTGACTGTTCCAGGGGATCAGACACCTTCTCCTGGCCTCTGAAGGCACTGTACACACATTATACACAGACATACACATAAGCCAAACATTCCTACACGTAAAATAAAATAAAAATTTAAAAAGCCAGCTGGCTGTAGCGACATACACTTACAATTTAGTACTAGGGAGGCAGAGACAAGAGGATCCCTGGGACTCAGTGGCCTAACCATCCCTAAGTTCTAGTAAAAGACTGTCTCAAAAGAACATGTCTTGCCAGGTGGTGGTGGTGGTGGTGGTGGCGGCGGCGGCGGTGGCAGTGGCTGCGGCAGCTCACGCCTTTAATCCCAGCACTCGGGAGGCAGAGCCAGGTGAATCTCTGTGAGTTCGAGACCAGCCTGGTCTACAAGAGCTAGTTCCAGGACAGCCTCCAAAGTCACAGAGAAACCCTGTCTCGAAAAACTGAAAAAACAAAAAACATGTCTTTTGAGAAACCACCTGAAATTGGCCTTTGTTTCCACACACATGTACTCCATACACACGAGCACACAAATACACCTGTACATGTACACATACATGAAAACACACCTTCATGCTCACACATGCATGAATACATGCACGCCTGTATGTGCGCAAACAATTTTTTTTCCAAGACAAGGTTTCTCTGTGTAGCCCTGGCTGTCTTGGAATTCACTCTGTAGACCAGGCTGGCCTCAAACTCACAGATATCCCTCTGCCTCTGTCTCCTAAGTGCTGAGATTAAAGACGTGCATCACCACCACCCAGGCACACACACAACTTTTTAAAAAAATATATTACTACTTTATATTACAATCTAAAAAAAGAATTAAAAATGCATAGTATTTACAGTTATTAAAAAACAAATAACCTAAAAATGTATGACAGAATACACATTTCTCACTCAATCTAGATGCCCTAAAATTTTCTTTGAATTAGATCTTTTTAAAACAGTTTCTTGTATCCACCCCCACCTTCCAAAACTTCATGGTCTGGGTTCTGAACTGCTTCTTGCTCAGGTTTAGCCAGAGCCTAGGGGACAGTCAGTAGGCTCTCAAGTGAGGGGACTGGGCTAGGAGACCAGGTGGGGAGAGCTAGATACATAACAACATCTGGTAGAGCTTTACCTGCCCCATCTGCAATCAAAAGAGGCCAGCTGTGGTCATCCATATGCCACACAGCTGCCCATTACTCTGTCCGCTCCAAACCCAGAAGAGCCCGCACTCTGGTCCCAGTGCACCCCCCTCCTCAAACATAGGCATTTGCCTTGCACATGTCCTCAGCTCCATCACTTGCCCCTACCCTCCCAACAGCAGGGGCTTCCCTTTCCCTTCCACCCAAACTGTAGTGAGGTAGCGGCATTAGTTTCTCCAAGTGCCCTTCATCTGCTAACTTACCCAATGCTAACAAGCCCCACGAGGTTACTGCTTTTACCTCTGCTATCTAGATGGGTAGACTAATACCCAGCAGCATTAAATAACCTGAGGTCAGGTGCTGGAGAGATGGCTCAGGCATTAAGAGCACTTACTGCTCTAGCAGAGGACCAATGTCCGGTTCCCAGCACCCACATGGCAGATCACCACTGTCTGTGACACCAGTTGCAGGGGATCCCAGGCCTCTTCTGACCTCCTTGGGTTCCTGCACACACACTGTGCACATACATACACTCAGGCACATTTTGCAAGTGCAAAAGACCTGAGGTCGCATAGCATGATGGCTCTAGAACTAACACGCCTCTCAGCTGACCAGTGCAGGGCAAACACGGCAAAGAAAGCTCTTCACCTCCAGAGTGTGCTAGCGGCAACCCCAGGCCTATGCAGGGCAGAGGCCACAGGCTGTCTCAGTTACCTGTGGGAGTCCATGAATTCAGTCCCAAAGAGTCACTTGCAGGAACTGGACTTGGTAGAAGCCAAGCAATGACAGGACTGTTAGCTACAGGTTTGGGGGTTCAGAGGAGAACCTGCTCCATTTTTTCTACTCAGTGGTTGCATCTCTTCTCCAAATCAGGGGTTCTCAACCTTCCTAATGCTGTGACCCCTTAAGACAACTCCTCATGTTGTGGTGACCCTGAACCATAAAATGGTTTCATTGCTACTTCACAATTGTAATTTTGCTACTGCTATGAATCGTAATGCAAATATCTTGTGTTTTCCAATAGTCTTAGGCAACCCCTGTGAAAGGGTCATTCAACACCCCCAGGGCTCTCAACCTGCAGGCTGAGAACCGCTGCTCTAGAGGCTTTCAAGCCCTCCTATAGCCTCTTACAGGAGGCCCCAAAACAAACGGTACTGTAGACACAGGCTCAGCTGGCAGATGGGCAGCTTGGGATGGTTGCCTACACAGATGGCGGTCTGGGGGCAGCTCCAAGGGGATGGGGAGAAGGAGATGGCTGGCATGGCAAGTTGGACATCCAGACATCAGAGTGCTGGCTTCAGGCTGCCCCCGCACCCCGTAGTGAACAGGCCCCCTTCTCCTCCACCTCCGGGTGGCTGGGGCTCTAGGGCAGTTATTTTTAGCTTTTGACACCTGGGTATTTTGCAGCCACAGGATATCCGGTTTGGAGTCCCTTTCTGGGAATCCCACACGCGGCTGTTGTAAACAGCCCCACACAGTGGTGGCCTGAGCCAGGAGCCAGCCTCTCCCCCTCCCCAGCCCCCCTGTTTGAGATGAATCAAACAGGAAGTAGATGTCACCATGGCTGTGGCAGCTCAAGCTTCCCAGGAGTGGCAGTGTGCCCCCTGGCTCTCCGTCACCTACCTACCACTTCATTCCTCCTCTGGTGGCCTCTCAGGAACCCTGAGGCAGAGGTCTGGGTCATCTGCCTGAAGGCATGGCACTCTTTAAAGCTTTGCTGCTGCCTGCTAAAGAACGTGGACCACTCCTTAGCCTTTCTGAACTCCCTCTGTGGAGCAGGAGCACACACCTCCTCAGGGTGGCTCTCCAAGCCACCACTCCCCATCTCCAGGGCCTGCCTTGCGACCTGGCCTGCTCTGAAATGCCCTGCCCACCTGAGAAGACAGGCTGCCCGGTCCAGACTGCCCTGGTATTTCCAGGCACTGAAAGCCCTCAGGCACGTAAGATCTAAGTAAGTTCTACCTTCACTCACAACTCCCTTGGTCCGGTAGCTCCAATCTTATTGGAAGTTCACTACAAAGTCTAGTCACTATTTTTTTTTTCTATCACAAGGCAAACATCCTATGCAGGCAAGATTTGAGACCCCATCTGTAACGTGGGGGCTACAAGCTTAGGGTTTGTCAGCCTCTGCCTTGTCTCTCTCCTCCCCCTCCCCCCTCCCCACCACTCCCTCAGCCCCCGGTGCCCACTTCACCCAGCAGCCAGTTCCAGCCAGCCTTTCTCAACTGCTTGCCCCAACAGGAAGCACAGTCACCACCCCAATGCTGCCTCTGGGGGCGGTGTCTTTTCCCCCCTTGAGGGTTGCCATTGGGTTGGGCCTATCTGTGCACCCCACTCCTGCTTGCTCCTGAGTCCTGCCTTTCCCCGCTGCCTGGAGAAGGGCTTTCTTAGTGCCCTCCACATGAGCCACCCAAAGGTGTCCCAGCCTAGTCCTGAGCTGGCAGGGGAAAGGTCCAAGTTACTCGGCACACTACTCTAACCATCAATATGAAAGATTGTAACCGCTAGTATTGATAATGACCAACAGGCACATATTAATGCCGACAACCTATTTCCACCACAGTTGGTAGCAGCACCACAGTTAGTGCTCTTACAAAGGAAACTTGGGAAACATGCAAAGGGCAGTGTGGCTTAAGCCACAGAGAGCTTGTCTAACAAGAGCGAGGCCCTGGGCTTATCCCCAGCTTCACAAAAGACAGAAGAGAAAGGAAAGCAAAAGAGAGGGGAGGGGAGAGAAAAGGAGGGAGGGAAGAAGGGAGAAAACTTGCTTGGGCTTCCAAAACCTAAGCTTGTGATCAGCACACTGGCACAGATGCCTCCTAATAGGTGGTGAAGAGAGGCCACGAAGGGACACATAGGACGGTGAAGCGACTCCCGGCACTGGCACACTTCCACAAGGCACGAGATGCTTTGCCCAAAACACACCAAATAACCAACACCACCTCTGCTGAGTCCCTCCCGTGTCTTTGTCTCTAGGAAGCTCGCCTTCACTTCCTCATTCATCTTTTATTTCCCCAGTTTCTTGAATGTGCATTTTACCATTTTACTCGCTTCCTGTAAGCTGCTTCCAGCAGGGTATATAACTAAACAAGCAGACCTCCCAGGGCTGCCTGAGAGGATCACATGCTGCGAGAGTATTCTGGAAACTGTCAAGTCCCGTAGGAAATTCCAGTTGCATAACCAGAGCAAGTCACCCTAAGACTGGTACTCAGAATAAATTCCTTTGGAAGGCTACAGCCTCACTCCCAAGCCTCTCCCCTGGGCAGACCCTGGGCAGGTGGAAGGGTGGGGACACCCACTAGTGCAGAAAGAAACACCCACACTCAGGACAGTGAAGTAACCCTAGTTTTGGAGAAGGTGGAGGGCACCGGCCACAGACCCTGTCCTCCCATTGGCCTGGGGGTGGGCTCTTAGTACACACCAGGCAAATGGGAGGCATCTGGAGTCTGTGAATAGCAACGAGCTATGAATGCTGGCACTCACTGA